CTGACCGGTCAGTGAGTTTGCAAACTCCCTAGTGAATTCGTAAACTCCCTAGTGAGTTTGCAAACTCACTGATGGATCAGGGAGTTTGCAAACTCCCTAGGGAGTTTGCAAACTCACGGATTTCTCAAACTCCCTGTAACATGTAGATTGTAGAATGTACCACATGTTTGAGAGATGAAACTTAGACACGTGCAGGATATAAGCGGGGCCGGCACGCTGAAACCTTTTTTTAAGTTTTGGTACCATGTTGCACAATACAGCTTGAGCCTGCATAATTCTTAACTTTTTGGGGGGCTGGGTTCGACCGAACCCACATCCCAACACCCGCAACTCTCCCACTCCCTAACTACCCTCTCCTCCCCGCTCAGGAGTTGCAGCGGGAGCTGGCGCAGGCGCGGCGCCGGCAGGAGTCGCAGGACACGAGTCCGGCGCCCACGCCGGCCGACGGGCTCAGTCAGGCGTCCCGGGCCTCCAGCAGTGTTAGTCTGCACGAGGCGGCACCGGCCGACCCCACCCCTGTGGTTCATGTGACCGCGCCGGTGGAGCCCGATAGACAGGTGCTGATTGAGAGGATCGTCCGACTGCAGAGACAGGTGAGAGGGACGAGGACAATTACGGCTGTTGGAACTGTTGGAGCAATAGCTGTTGGTAGGTGTAACTAGGTGGTGTTTGGTGTGTTGTTGAGCGTGTCAGTGTTGTTTAGAATTGAAGCTCCCCGACTTTGGCGGTCGGTGCCTTCCTGCGATAGGTTGGGAGGGGGGGGGGGAGGTGTGCTTCCAATCTTAGCGCAACCGTTGAGGAACCCCACACGAACAGTGCTGGTGAAGCTATGGAATGGCCTAGGCTGGCGAAAGTAAAGCTATGGAATGGCCTAGACTGGCGAAAGAGGGTTTGTGAAGACCAGGTAGCTGGTCTGTACAAAATATATAACTGATTACCATTGACTTTAAAATATTGCTAAATGCTAAATGGAAATGGAACGACCTATCCCCGACCTGTCCCCATATTGTATTAGTTTTAGCAGCTGTAACCTAGCGACTAACCCCGCCTCCTTTCTGTGTATGGTCCGTCAGGTTGCTCGGCGCAGTGAGAAGATAGACTTTCTGGAGGATCACGTCAATAACCTGGTAGAGGAGGTGCGACGCAAGTCGCGCCTGCTGCAGCACTACATGCTCCGGGAGGAGGCGGGCGCGCTTGGCTCCCAGGACCGCGATCAGGCCAAGGTAGGACCCAGTGCTGAGGGAGGGATAGGGCGCTTGGCTCCCAGGACCGCGATCAGGCCAAGGTAGGACCCAGTGCTGAGGGGGGATAGGGCGCTGGGGTCCCAGGACCGCGATCAGGCCAAGGTAGGGCCCAGTGCTGAGGGAGGATAGGGCGCTGGGCTCCCAGCACCGCGATCAGGCCAAGGTAGGGCCCAGTGCTGAGGGGAGGGGGAGAGCGATAGGGTCCCAGGCTAAGGTAGGGCTGTAACTGCGCCAGGGGGAAGGAGGAGGACGTTAGCGTATCAGGCCGAGGTAGGGCCCAGTGCAGCTGAGGGTATGGGGGCTGAGAGGGACGGGCACTGAGGTTTTAGAACGCAGCCTGGCCAAGGGAGGGTGGCGCAGTGGTTGGAAGGGAGACAGTAGCGTGGGGTCTGGTTGATGTCTTCCAAGGGAAGGTGTATTGCGGGCAGTGCACACTCGATGCAGTCCTGTTGTGTAAAACCAGACTTGTGAGTTGTGTTATCATCAAGGCAAAACGAGTTCCACTGATGTTAGTTGTCGGACTTTCATCCCCGTCTTGAGTTAAGATGTTAGTTTCACAACGTTTCGGCCAGTTACTTCTCCGGCCGTCGTCAGGTGTTTTTTGGCCCTTAGAAGGACCTGGATGTTGGTGGCGTTGCGCCGTACGCGTCATACTGTTCGAAAGCTCCTGTAGTCAGCGGGACTCGAACTCGGGTTTCCCCGGTGATAGTCCACGGTTCTAACCACTTTTCTAACCAGTTCCAACCATTTCGATTCCCGCTGACTACAGGAGCTTTCGAACGGTATGACGCGTACGGCGCAACGCCACCAACATCCAGGTCCTTCTAAGGGCCAAAGAACACCTGACGACGGCCGGAGAAGTAACTGGCCGAAACGTTGTGAAACTAACATCTCAACTCAAGACGGGGACGAAAGTCCGACAACTAACATCAGTGATACTAACACCTCGTCTCAAGCATTCAGAAGAACTGCATAACGAGTTATTGCGCATGACGTCAGTATAGAGCGGACGCTTTTAGCTTTGTATATTAACCAGCAGCTCACAGTAACGATTCAAGCTCAAGTTAGTTTTGTCTCACTCATTTTGTGTGTGCAGTTCAACTGATTGAAATTTCGATAGAATAGTCTAATGTTCGTCATTTTCAAGCGTGATGGTATCGTGTTCTTTCATGCAGCTCGGGCGAGCGGCTAAGAAAGTCGTGGTAGGTATCCGATTCAGTGTCCCGTAATCACTCTATGTGCGCATTGACATGTTCGTTTTGTCTCATTTTCGTATTTAAAGTCGTAATGCCTGAGCTTGTTTGCTTTCATGAATGTCGCCGTTAAAATTTGTAGGAGGCTTTTTCTGCATGGCAACAATGCTGCCCTCTTTTTCCACGGTGAGGTATAATCACCAACAAGGTGCTTTTCATGTGATATTTTAAGCATGTTTTGCCTGTGCCTGTCTGTCTCTGCGTCGTATTGGAAAACAATAACTGTCGCAATAAATGTCTGAAGGAAACAGATATTGCGTCATTAATGCGGCCCCGGTGATCGCTTCCATCTCAGTTGTTGACTTCGTTGTAATGGACTCCTACCCTGTCTTTCGCTTCCTCCCTCGGAGAGAGCGAGGGCCTCGCTCTCTCGCTCCCTCCTCCCTCCCTCCCTCCCTCCCTCGCTCCCTCTAACTTCCCGGCGCCGTTCCAGTCGGAGATGATGCGGAAGGGCGGCATCATGGCCTCCGTCTACGGCTCCCACTCCAAGGACCAGGCCATGACGCTCGAGCTCTCCCTGGAGATCAACAAGAAGCTGCAGTCGGTGCTGGAGGACACACTACTCAAGAATATGACCCTCAAGGTGGGCGTCGAGCAATAAGATATCAGGTTCTATCCTAATGTGTACTAGAATTTTTCCGGTGGTTCTATTACGGGAGACAGACATGTGATGGCGTGGTGCCTGTATGTTTGCTGAAGTCGCTTTTGCTCGTACCGTTTAGCTTTTTGTCTTAGAAAAGTGACAACGAATGATAGGCTGATTCCGTCCTGCTTTGTGCTGGTTTCAGCTGGCAGCTAACGCCAATTGTTGTGGAAGACGTGTTGGTATGGCTATTGGATTTACCCATGATCAATGTGTTTCTGATGAAGCGTCATCAACCATTCATAGTATTTGAATTGTCCATCCCTCACAGGCTTGCTCTCGTTTCAGGACAATATGAACGTTCTGGGTGAGGAGATTGCATCTCTGACCGAGCAGAACCGGCAACTACGGAGACAATAACGCTGCAGTCGGCCGCCGGGCGGCGCCACCTGTACATCCACGTCTCAGCTGAGCCTGAGGGGGGGGGGGGCTCTCCGTGTGGGGAGGGGCTGCACATACCTTTGGGATCCCATGTACCGGGCTCAGTGATAATGTGTGCGTGAGAGAGAAAACTTATTTATGCGGTACAAATGAGGTGTGCGTGCGTGCGGGATTATGTATATCTAGGTGACGCTGTGTTCCCCTGTGTTAACCTCGAGCTGCGCTCGTCTCGCCAACCTGTCCTGTGTAAGCGGTATGCCAGGTGGTGTCTTGTGAGGGGCAAGCGAGACGCACATTGGATCTGTTCAGATCCGAAACTCAGTCGGGTGGATGAGCCTGGTACGGGCGTTCCAAAGTCGACTAAACTGCGCCGTTGTTGGCGCACGCTGCGAGAAGACTTAACGCGCTTTCTGATGTGACTCATCGCAACAAAGACGATTGGTTCTGATGTAGATCTTCGTTATCAGAAATCCATCACCCAGGTCGGGCAGTTTGAGGGGGCGACGTTCCGATCGCTGATAAATAGTTCCGTTATGTTGCAACATCGAATGTTGTTCGGCTTTAATTATGGTCATTGTCCGTTGTATGTTCCGTTGTGGGATGCAGAAATGGGACTTTCGTCAGGGACGGTCGGGAAGGAGACTCCGATGCGAGCTTGTGAATTCTGAACTCCCTGTGGCTGAACGGGAGCTGTTATATCATTCCCCTTTATTTCACGGGAGCTCGAAGAAGTCACGCAAGGCACTAAAAACGGCGTTAGAACGCCATGGACGGGGGGCTTGTTAAAATGTCGAGTCAGGAGGCTGTGGGAACCGGGGGAGGGAGAAGATGGAGCCGAATCCGCCAATATCCATTGGTTGCCGCGCGAACCACGGAGGGAACCGACTTGGCTCCCGGTACAGTTGCAATAGTGTCGTCACAAACCGTGTGTCCGGAGCTCGATAAGACAGGTCGACGTGCCGGGTTCGGACAGTGGCCGGCAGCGTGGGATGGGTCCCGCCCGCTGGTGACTGTGCGGCCTGTCTGGAGGCCAGGGTGGGTCTCTGTCCTCGGCACAGGGGTCGCTCGGGCCTCAGTTATCTGCTCCGGGCCCGCCGCCGGCGGCGCCGGACCTCTCAGTGTTGTGCTACCGATGTTATGTTGTTCATATTCGTCTGTATGTGCGTAACCATGAATATACTGAAACTGAACTGTGGTGAGACGGTCTGTCGGTCTTGCTAACCCAGTCTTGGATTAATTACTCCCCCGAGTGTGGCGTCGTGGGTTCAAATCCTGGTCAGTCATAGCTCCACAGAACAGCGCTTTGTCTCCATCCATAATAATGCACCCGTCACAGGTTTGAACTCTAAGAGGGAGAGCGAACTAGTGAGCCAAGCGTGTTACACATCGCACCATTCCTAGCTCCGCCACGGAGCTAACGTGGCTCCCCACCTCCCGCTCCCTCCACCACCGGCTATCGAACTCCGGTCAGAGTCGGAGTCACTGTGTCAGCGTGTATTAGCAGCGCCTGTGCTCTTGACTCCTGAGTATTCTAAGCCAGCTGCTCTCTGTACGCGGAACAACAAACACGGAAAATGCGGCGAACCAACCGGGCGGGCGGGCGTCAGCGTCGTACGAAAACGTTATTCTGCTCTTTAAAAGAAGTGGAACGGTAAGCTCATGGCACGGAGTTCAGCGCGCGCGACTGTTCACAACGCTAAAACTAGAGATAACCGCAGTGCGGGGCACACATACGTACACACGAGGCGGCCACGTACAACTGTCGCCAGATACAAACACACGCTCTCACGACTCCGCTGCGCCACACATGCATACAGTCCACTGACACGCGCACGACATGTACAACTGTAAAATAAATAATACTGAACATCGCACGTCCGTCACCGAGACAGACACACAAACACACTCACAGACTCGCACGCAGACGGTCCCTAGCGACTGAAACGGGCGGCGCCGGCCACCGGACACAACAAACAAAAACAACCTCTTGGCGCACGACGGCACCTCTAAAACATATGGCACTGGTTCACGGTCAAACTTGGCACGGTTAGTGGCGACGCTGGCGGCCCGGGGAGCGAAGCTAGACTATTTGTACGCGCTCCCCGGGCCCGCCGCGCGGCGAACACAGGGCCGTCCCGCCGCGGGCAAGGCACATGACACAGCGGTACACATCGGCAAGGCACGCGCAGGCACTCGGCACTGGCACTGTCCACTCGTGTGGCACCATCAGCTCTGTCTGTCTGTCACTCTCAGTAGTCCATGAGGACGCGGCGGTCGTCACTATTTACAGGTGCTGGCTGGCCGGGCCGGGCCGCCAGTCTGGCGGCCTCACCGCGCCCGGCGGGCCGCCTCCGCCGCTGACTAGGACCGCCACCTGGCGGAGCAGAGGTGGCGCCACCTACATGGCTGTGCTCTTGAACAGCTCGAACTGGCTGTCGACCGAGACGTCGTGACTCGAGTCTCCCGAGTCGGGTGGCGACGGCTGCCCCAGGTCCAGGTACTCCTGCAAAATGACGCATAAGTATGTTAGTTAACTGTGGTTATTTAAGCTTAACAGTGCATCATTCAAAAGAACAAAAACTGCACTGCAGGCTATCATCTTTCGATGAAACATTTGAGCCAAAATAACTGCTTCCCAAACTATTTTCTTGTTCCTCACGCCTACAGCAAATAGGCTCATCGAAAAAAAAACTCGACTGGAAGCCGTTCAGACACGCCAAATGTGCGCCTGCGGGCCCCTCTCACCTGGGGTGCTAGCGAGGTGAGTAGAGTACCCAGCTTCTCCACGAGCTCGGTGAAGGTGGGCCGCAGGTTGGGGTAGTACTCCCAGCACTGACGCATGATGTCATCCCTGGGGAACACACGACACATACGGGGTTACACGAGGACGCAATAAAATCGGGGCGGCAGGGTCAGAATGGCGACGAGACGGGGGATGAACAACAGATCCCTCACACGTCTGGAAGCAACATTGAAATGGGGGAAGGACGTAATGTATTCGCTGCACGTATTTTTCATCCACTTTGACATCCTAAACAAGCACAGGGATTACTCAAATTTAAGGATTACTAAAATGAATCATCCTCGATCGAATATGCAACAAATAGGTAAGGTATTTGCAACAGTAAACATATCCAGATCAAAGTTCACCATGTGAGCTCTGCTGGAACATCCGTGTGCAAAATCCCAGCACTAATGATTTATTTGTAGGAATCAATTATACTGCACTGGTTCCCACCGCCTCGTTCGCAAACAACTCTCCGATCGTCAAAGACTGGTAGGCCGGGGTCCGGGCCGCACAAGGCTATCGAATGGTAATTAACAACCACGCTGGCTCCAGCGGTCCGTATCGGTTACTGCGTGGCGCGCGCGCAGACGGCACTGTTTATACAGTTCAGTCTGTCTGGCTACCCTCGACCACCGAACAATATTCGGTAACAATTCCCAGTGAGGCCGCAGTGTCCGGCCGAGTCTGGCACCAGCCGCGCTCCGGACGGTGGTAAGGGCCCATATGTACTGTGTACCGACCACTGGGTACTACGGACCGGATCCTGTGTACTGGGTACTGAGTACTCACAGTTTCTGTGGACAGCCGGGCGGCCGCTCCATCCGGTAGCCTTCCCTCAGCAGGCTGAAGAGCTTCTCCACGTTGGGGATGCTCGGGTAGGGCATGCCGCCCATGGAGAAGATCTCCCACAGGAGGATGCCGAACGACCACCTGTGGAGGGAGGGATCAGCGTCAGTCGGCCGCGCCACTCGCCGGAGGTCGGTCTTAATCACACCGTCAACACTAGACTGAGTCAGCCGGCAGCGGCACCGCTGGCAATCATCAACACCCAGCAGCCAGAACAAATACCGGACCGGAGTGAGGCTTGTACGGCATGACGCCGAGGTATAATACCGCTCCAGTGCCGGCCCGTCCTTGTTTGTTTGTCAGGGAGAAAGGCGCAACAGACAGCACGCCTGTCACCGCCGTGGGTACGCGAACCCTTCGCCCTGTGCCTGCCGAGCCATGATTCACAGGGCTGGAAACCCCGAGGGAAAACGGCACCCACTGCGCCCTTAGAGACACTATTAGGTATCCTTACCACCCAAAGTGTCTCAAATTTCACACCGCTTCAATCCACACATATTAGACCATAAGCGATAAGACAATACTGTATAGGTACATATTTACCACAAAACATGATTCAAATCCTTTTGTGAGCAGGAAGCTCTACCATTCGTCCACGTAAGATGCCGCGCCATCTTTTGTCTGACATCACTTCGATGTTTATCCTCTTACGACATCATACTTCCCCTAGTTATTCCATCTCTTGGTAATTACGTCACACCACCCTACCTCCTATAACGTCATTCCCTCATATGACGTCACACACTACTCACACGTCTGACTGGGTGGTGTAGAGCCGCTCGAACAGCGCCTCGGGCGCCATCCATTTGACCGGCAGCCGGCCGTCCGTCACCTTGCGGTAGTACTCGTTGTTCTGGATGTCGCGCGCCAGGCCGAAGTCGGCGATCTTCAGAGTCTTGTTCTCACCGACCAGGATGTTGCGGGCGGCCAGATCGCGGTGGATGCACTGCGCAGGCGCAAACAGAAGTTAGAGACGAGCTATTCAGGGGGAAGGCTTGATGAAAAGTGTTTTGATCGAAACGAGGTAAAGAAAAAAAAAACGGTATTGACCGCGCACATGAAAACTAAGAGCTAGAGAATTAGGAGAGCGACTGATAATAAACTATCACGCTATCTGCTTGGATGCAAGACACGAGATTTGTCTAAAAACGTCTGTTCAAAGAATATCTCAGAAAATTTCCCACATGTGTGGAAACGGGGCAACGAAAAACATGAGGCGTAGAACAACATTATGGCCAAGCAGCTACACTAAACCGCCCATAACTACACGAGTGCTGACAGCGCTGAGCACCAAACGCCCCCGTACGTCAGCTTTGGAACACAGCGTGCGCACTAGTCGCGGGGTGGGCCGCTGGCGCCGCCACACTATCTGAGCAGCTGCCAGGCCCGAGGAGCCCACTCCCGTCTGGAGGCCAGCCAGCGGGGCGCCCATTCGGGAAGTCAGCGGCCATCACTGCGGCGCCGAGCGCCATTCCGCACAATTCAGGGCCCATCTCCGGTGGTCGGTCAGCCCCGTGTGACGTGACGTCTCGCGTAACGTGACGCTTTCATGCAACAGCGCACGGCTTCAAACGGAGACGCTGGCGGCGCGGACCGGGGTGGGGCAGTGCGCTGTGGCACGCGGCATTTGGCGACAGGAGAGCTTCCACCTGGGCGAGCTGAGCTGGTGGCCTTTGAGCAGAAATGTGGACAAAAGCGGAGACGCCAGTCTAGAGACCAACTAAGGTTGAGTGAGTATAAAAGAACACAACAGCGCCTCTAGGCGAGACGACCATGCGTACCTTTTTGGCTGCCAGGTACTCCATGCCCCTGGCCACCTGGTAGGCGAAGCTGGTCAGCTCCCTGACAGTGGGCGTCTCGTGATCGAACGCTCTCTCGTAGCCGGTGGTGTGGCGCCGCTCGCGCAGATAGGAGCGCAGGTTACCTGTCATCAAGAGAGAAGCTGTCAGCATCGGCCCGCAAGATCGAAAGATATTGTTCCTTGAGAAAACATAAAGAAAACACGGTACTAATGTACCACAGGGTGGAGTTATCCGCGATTCTGACACTGTAGCACTACGAACCCGAAAAGTAGCCACTAATTTAATAAATATTGTAGTACCGGGAGACCATTAGAACGTCTCCAGTAGTGTTGATGGGTTATGACAGGGGTATTCTGTGTGAACATATACACCCAGTGGCGTCTCAGGTTCCCTGTGCGCCATCAAAACGAACACTTACAGAGTAAACAAGCCAATTCAATACGGCCCGCCGCCGCCGGGCTCAGAAATAAACATATTCGGGCGGACAGTTGGCCACTGAAGTCGGTCCAAATCCGCTCCCGGGGCCGGCTTCTGGCAACGGCTGACCAAAGCCAAACAGAGCCCGTGCCAGCCATCACATGCATCTATCAATCAAAGCTCGCGGCTCTATCCGTCACTGCAATTCGCCAACAGAACTGGTTCCTGAGGCGGACTCTGTTCACGAAAAACGAACAGAGGTCACCTCCACTTACCCAGACAGACCACTGGGGTTCCAGAAATCCCAGACGGCGGTCTATATCCAGATATTTAGCAATCGGTGAATGAGGAGGCTAAGTAAGCCGAATAACTCCTTTGGATTTCAGTTCCAATACTGAGTCAAGGTTGCGATTTTTCAATCTAGTCGGGAACTGAGCATCATTGATACCCTTAATACCGATCCGAGCCATCATTTACGACAGAAACATATTGTATTTCTATTTCGAAGCCTGGCGGTGCGCCTTTTCTCTTTCGCACTTAACCCGCGCGGGGCTGGGGTCTCCAGCCGAACGCGCGGGGCTGGGGGGGGGTAAATTTTACCCCCCTGTTATCTCCCGAACTAACGGTCCGATTTGGAAAATTCAAACGCCAATCGAAAGCTCTCATCACGAACTACTAAAAACATGTACTTAATCTAAAGTTTGAGGTCAAGGTCAAGGTCAGGTCAAGGGTACAAATTGCAAGTTTCTACAGTAACGGCCTTGCACCGTAGTTGACGAAGAATGGAGTCATGGACTGAGACTGATCGCCCAAAACGTGTTCTTAGGCTACCAAGACAATATTCGTTGCATACAATATCATTCAGAGGTCAAGGTCAAGGTCAGGTCAGGTCAGGTCAGGTCACCAAAAAAACAAAATATAGAAAAGGGCATGTGCGACACATGTTTTATGGGTCATTTTACTCATAGAATTCAATAGGCACACTCAATAAGTGATATGGACCACCTCTGGATGAATTTCAGGTCGAGGTCAGGTCAAGGTCAGGTCAAGTGAGGTCAAATTTTGAAGTTGGTTGTTAAGGCCTAAAAAGGTGTCTATCTGATGCAGTTTTTCACGGCGAATCGAATGGTGCTATTTTTGTTTCCGTACGAGGTCTAGAACTTCCAAAAAAGTCATTTTTCAAAAAATTTGTGTGTCGTGACGTCATAAAATTTTGAATAACTCCCACATTTTTGAACCGATTCTTCTAAAATTTGGTATGTAGGTGCACATAGACCACTTCTCTGACATATATTCCGGTTTTTTTCGATAGACTCAAAATTTTGGATTTTATAATGATCTTCCCAAAAAAGTCAGTTTTTTGAAAAAAATTAGGCCAAAATCCAAAATTTTCAAAAAACCGAGATAGCCATTTGATAGACAAAGTAAAATTACGTATAACCTTTTTTGTTACGTCTTGATTCCTTTAAAAATGAAGATGTTAGCGGCGTTTGAACTTTTGCCGTTTTTGAGGCGAAAATGACGAACATGACGTCACTAAAACGTCAATTTCTCAAAATTTTTCCGACGGATTTCGCTCAAATTTTCAGGGAACGTGTCAAATTGATGTAAGAAAAGGTACTGAAAGTTTTGCGGCGCTGCGCGCCGCCGTTTTTGAGATATCGCAAAAATTCGCGAGGGGGGGTAAAATTTACCCCCCCCCCAGCCCCGCGCGGGTTAAGGTCCATCACTCAAAAGACAGTGGACCACTCTGCCCATTTTCAGTGTTCCATCTACACTCTGCCCCCACCTCCCGTTTCCGTTCCCTGAGTGCGCCTCCCTGAGTGCCCCCCCCCCCCCTTCCGGTTGCTTAGTGCGCCACTGACCGTGCGGGGCGAACTCCACGATGACGAGCAGCGGCCCGTCCTGGGTGCACGTGCCGATCAGGTTGATGATGTTGACGTGCCTGCCGATCATCTTCATCACCTCCATCTCGGAGACCAGGTCCATCAGCTCGGCGTCCGTGTGACCCTCTGCAGGTCACAGAGGTCACTGGTCACACTGGGCAACAGGTCACACTGGGTCCCATAGGTCACAGATCACAGGACACATTTGAAGACGCTAACTTCCGTCAAGTCACAAAACTTTGAATAGTGATTTCCTCATTGCTCAAGAGTTCGGCATTGCATTGCATTGCATTACATTATCATTACCCAACAAAAGATGTAAATAAATGACAGCATTTCTATTTGTTGTTCATCGAATTCAAAATTAGCAATGCTCAAAAGCTCACACCAGTAATCGCATTAAAACGCAACCTACTGCCACTATCCATACAGCACAGCAGTATCCTGATACATACCCTTCAGCATTTTGACGGCCACCGTGACGCTCGAGTTGGGTTTGGCCGAGCCGTCCAGTGCACCACGCACCACCCGTCCGAAGGCTCCCTCTCCGAGCTGTTTGCCGAGCTGGAGGCGGGCACGCGGGATCTCCCAGCCCGGGTCAACGGGCAGTTCGTAGGCCGACATCACGGAGCCCTCCTTGCTCGGTCTGACGGGAGGAGAGAGAAGAGGGGGTTAGTTAAACGAGGGACGATGGTATGGAATGGGAGACGACAGCGAATAGAATGACGAGGGGAAATGATGATAAATCATCAGGAGAGTTCCGAGAAATAGGGGCTTTTATATAACTGTCGCTAGTGTACAGCTCGATAGAAGTATGGAAGTGTTTCGTCATTGGTTATGAGGAATGATGACCACGTGTTTCAAACATTCAGGGATGTGTTTCAAACAGATTTTGCTCACATTGACCGGTCAAAGATCCAAATGTGGCATGACCATGACGGAGGTCACCAGGCAGATAATTCGCCTATCCATTCCCTCGAATACATGTCAACTCCTTACACATCCGTCTCACAGCCACCACGGCTTCAGTCGCCACCCGCACTCTTCCAGCCAGTGACGAGCAATACCAAAAACGCTCCGCCATCTACCAAGAACGCGTCATTCGGTGCGGCGGTGGGTTTGTCGCTCAAAACACCTCACAATCTCCAAAACATGTAAACTGACGCCCGACTGGCTCCAGCCCGTCGCGGCGGATTCCGCCAGAGCGCCGGTAAACGCTGGCAGAGCTGACGGAGCAGCCCTGCCGTTTGGAGCGGTCTGTGGCGGCAGCGGTAGCGGTAAATATCCGGCTCTAGTTAACCTGACCGCTGCTTCGTTGCTGCTCCAGGGGTTTAATCTGCCACCAACGCATCGACAGACTGATTTCAAATCGACTAACTGAGGCGGCAATTTGCTGGAAATTAACAAACACTGTCAAGCTTAACCTTTCAGTTTCCGAAAACAAGTGGTATTTTAGAAAGGAAATAAATAAACATATGTTCCACGCATTAACCATAGCACAAATGCGTCACGATAAACAATCGTTCCGTTTCTCGGCTCGAGTTCGGTCTATTTTGGTCCCCGCGGCGGCGGCGGTGACGGCTCCAACCGTGGGGCTGGCGAGGGTGAGCCCCGTCCGGCCACCCTAATCACCGTACACACAGGGACACCACCCTACGCCAAACAACCGCAGTCGGTGGCAAAACAAACAAACACGCCGCGACTCCCTCACCAGCATCCGTCAATTTAGATCCCTGTCGGGCCGTCCTGCGTGAGGGTAATTTGTAAAGCCTAACCTCTACTGCACTAGTACTGTCCTCAGCCCGTTACTCACTTGCAGCGTTCGATCCGGATGGTTGGTGCCACGATGGTGCCGTTGGCCAGCATGTTCTGGTGGTCGATGATGACCTTCTTCGTCATGGCGTGGAACGCGTTGGCCTTCTCTACGGCCCGCTCCCGCTCGCGCCTCTCGAGCCTCATGCGTCCGTAGAAGCGCGCCACCAGGATGATACCGGCCAGCACCAGTACGCCGAACACCACACTCAGGATGACGGTGATCCGAGAGTGGGCCAGCGGAACTGGTATCTCCTCCAGCGCTGTGGGCAAAAGAGGTAGATGGTTAGAACTGGTGAAATAGTGAAAGGGTGAGAGTTGATAATAGGGAACAGAGGACGGAATAGAACAAAATGCAAGCGTACAGGAAGGAAACTTATCACACAAGTGGATCAAAGTATTACGCTGTAAGTGGCGTAATGATGTGTGATGGCTTGACTCAACACGAGCCGGGCTCTGGATCTGTTAATCATCAAAAAGCCCCACAGACGGCCACCAAAATGCCACGGAGTGCATGAGCCAGCCGTTCACAAAGAAACCAACATAAAAGTCACGTTATGTGCCCACATTTGGCAGGTACCTGCTGGATCAATTCACTCGTACATAAATACCTCGAGCTAAAACCACCGAACATAATCATCATCGGGCAAATGGCTGCATTTTATTCCGTGATACCCCAGACGGCCGCCCTAATCTGACATAATGCCGGGCGGCACGAAGGTCGGCCGGTCGGTCGGTTTTGCCGTTCACATCGAGTCTGTATCAGCGTGCGGGGAGTGAGCACCGAGCACGGCCCAGTCGGCCGTAGTGAGCACGTCTGCAGTGAGCACGCCCCAGTCGGCCGAACATGGTCTGGATGACGGCACAGTGACGCTGTCCCAGACTGACCGGCGACGCGGGGAATGAGTGGCGCAGGGTCTGATCTATGTGAGAGGCTGAAGCATAGACCGCTACATACCACAGAAATATATAGGTCTATGGCTGAAGAAAGGTAGAATTGGGAAAGAGAAAGTGGCGGAAGGGGAAAACGTTATAGGAGTTCCCACAGAAAACACTCATACCTTCGAGTACAGAGCTAATATTTAGACTCAACGAATTCAACACTTGAACAAATGTAGGAACATTAGGAAATCCCAGGCCTTCTGTAGAAGGCTTCAGGATGAAGCCAAGCGGAATATCACGAAAATACCGGAATCGCTGCGGAAAGGACATGCAACATTTCAAACCCCCAACAGCTGAACTGAACTATGAAAGGCTGACACACTCCGCTTTTACCACGTCACAGAAGACGCCTAGGAACAACAGCCCCGCAGCCCGCAGCGTGACATCACCTGGCGTCCATCAGCCAGCACTTACGTTCGAGGACGGTGAGATAGGCCCTGGCGTGCGCCTTAGCCAGCGTGTTATATGCGATGCACGTGTAGAAGCCGGTGTCGTTCAGGGTGACGTTGTGGATGACCAGTCGCTGCTTCGTCGAGATGTCGAACCTGCCTCCGTCCTGCGCGGCGCCAGACAGCATCGTCAGACCAGTACAACGGCGACAGTGAGACAGCGACAGAGCGACCCAGCGGCCGGCGTGACTGGTCCCGTGTTACCCCGCGTCCGGCATTGAATTTAATCGGTCCCATAAATTAGCCCGGACGTAATGAGGCACATTTCGTGATTAAACACATCACAGGGGTGAGCAGTGAGCACGGCTATATGTAGTCTGTCTCGGTCGGGCGGTACGGCGGCGGGGGAGCTGGGACCGAATCAGGAGGCTGTCAGGGGGAGAGGTTCGGAGCTCAGGACAGCGGTCTGACCAGCGCTCAGACCAGCGCTGGCCGGAGGTGGAGGGTTCGGCCAGTGCTGGCACCAACCGCCGTGATTTATCATTCGCTAAATGTCAAACGCACATCATGCAGCGGCCACATTGGAAAAACGTGCAAAACACCACACTCGAGCTCAATTTACAGGTTGGCCGACAAAAAATGGATGCGATGCATGTTATTCGACTAATAATGTTCATGAATTCATGGACGTCCTTCGCTGCCTGTTACGTAAGGGAAAAATGATCAAGGTTTTTGTGATATCGATTTCAAGAAATACATGTTGCATGTGTGAAAAGTGTATCGCTTCACTCTTTCCCTGATACTAAGTAAGTGAATAAATGTAATCTAAACAAGAAACCGCAAACATATGTAGGTACTTCGTACAAACAGAAGAAAGTCAAATCAAGACAACGCCCCGAAAGACCCCACAGCGGCCCGGTGCCTCTTAAACATTTCTCTATTCAGCTCGCATCCTGACTGCAAAGTGCAATATGCCTATGCACTTACAGCCGTCACGATATCTTACATTTACTACATCCCACCCTGTCTCGGATGCCGCTTTTCCGGGCCCACTTCTATCGGGATTCAGGGCACCACCTTTTCCAATTCCATCTCCCTCCTGTGACAGTGACGGACTGCCCAGCTGTTGGCGGGGGCCAGGTTTGCCGCCCGTGCGCCGTTTTCGCCCGCTGCGCCACGGACCGGGTCGCCGCGGTGCAGTACCGATTGACGGATGCCTTCAGGTTCAGCCGCCCGTGCGGCGGCCTCTTTCCAAAGAAAACACGACCGGCGCGCAGGGCACGCCCGGACTGCAGCCGTCAGTGGCAGCTCGGAGCCTGCAGCCACCGCCTAATGGTGCGGGTGGGAGCCTATAGGGCCTCTGATACCCTGCCATCAGAATCGCGCTAACGAAACTCACTGAGACGGCTATGTTCTATCTGACACGAGCTGATGAGAGCCCGACGTGGTCGACAGTCCATCTGCCTCTTCGAAAATTTCGAAGGGTAAAACTCAGAGGCTTAGAGATAGCACCTAAATGTTCCTCTCGTGCCGATTTTTTTGAAATACCTATGGGACATGGCGTGGAAATCTACTGTCATATTTCAGAGTTGCAAATACACAACAAACGTCAACCGTTAAAACATCCGTTCCCGGTTTATTGGTCCCAGCTCGGGCGCCCAAAACAAACCTATTTCCTACCCACACGCCCCAAACCAGGTCACCCGAAATAGGCGCTTCCTGCGGCAGGCGGTGGCCCAGAAAACCTGACTGACAGCCAGCTCGGAGAGCACTCAGCCATCGGCTCCGGGCGCCTCTGACGGGCGCTCAAACCTCGGGGTTAGTCCGGTCAATGTGTCCGAACACTATGGACAGACGGATCGGGCAGCCAGAACATACATCACAGAGCCGGCTACAGCTCTGGAGGTGTATCAGACCCAGCCAAGGGTGAACACTCGGCCAGCTAGCATGGCGGGTGGCGGGGTGAAGAGCCGCAGGGAAGCGGAAAGGAGAGATGTGTTCGAACACAGAAAGATCAGTGGACTGTCCGGAAGGTGGATAGGTGATAACGTGATGACAGGCGGACTTGGTCTGGAAGAGACAGGTACAACATTGGAAGCTACAGTGATCGACACATTCCCTGTACTTCGGCGATGGGTACAAGTCGATGAAATGGCAAACATAAACAAACCCGGAACTGTTTGAGAAATATCCCGTAGCGTCGACAAGGATGAGGAAACTTGGAGGTGTTGAAAGCCGTATCGGCACTGTACACAAAACCAGGAAACGGTTTTGAAACCCGACCCACTATGTTTGACATGATCAGTTCCGGTTGACCTACCCACAATGCCTTCCCAGCCGCGATCAATGCCGTGATCAATGCCTCACAATGCCTCCCCGGCAGCCATTCGAACAACGGAAGCTTGATCAGACCAAAAGCTGTGGTAGTTCCACGTCAGCTCTCGGCTCAAGTGGCTATGCACCGATCCAGCGGAGGTTACTAAGACCGGCGTCTGTGACCCAGCCGAGGTCGGCGACCTGGCTAACGAAGAATTAGTCGACGAAGCTAGCGACTGCACTCCAGTTAGTCGCGTGTCGAAGAACAAAGCCCACAGGAACTCGGCTCAGCATTCCATGCACGACATGCGATATTAGAGACGGGGTTAGCTCAGCAGTTCAGCAGTTCAGCAGCTCGGTAGTTGGCGGCTCAGCAGATCAGCCAGTTAGTACACTTCAGCTCCAGCCAATGACGTCATTAGAACAAATCAGCAAACGGCGGCAGGAGCAGCAAAATCGGCAGACAAAATCGGCATCGAAATCCATATCAGTCAGCATCCGAGATTTCGAAAACGTTGTAGTATGGAAATCCTTTTCCTTTCTGACTCTATCAACAACACCATGCACAGGACATGCGATTCGTGGACTCGGCTAGCCATTTACAACACGTGCGCCACGTGGCGTCACACGGCGTCTCGCGGCGTCCCGTGCAGAGCCGTGCAGTCGTGCGGAGCATGCGATCAGACCCGCTACCTGGAGTTTGGTTACGTGTGCGCCGGGCGCGGCCGTCGCCGACCAGTACCAGTCGAGCTGGCTGTGCATCCCGGCCGTCACCTCGCACACAAAGTCGGCCCGCTCGCCCGTCACCAGCGTCACGTTACGCGGCGCGCGCGTGATGATCGGGTGCGGCTGCGGCGGCGCTGTGGACACGGGCGGGTCGGTCAGAGTCGGCGGGCCGCGGCGGGTCGGGCCGGGCCAGCCGACCGGCGCGCTCACCTGTTTTTCGTTAATCGCCTGCCGGTTCAGCCGGTCCATATCGGCTAGGTCGCGTACGTGAACCGTGTTGTTCTCGGAGAACACCCAGAACAGATCCATCTCCCAGTCCCACGAGCCGAGACAGTCGAACGTGGCGTTCTCGCCGATAAACGCCGTCACGTTGAGCGGGTAGCCTTCCTCGATGCACGGCATGACCAGAACGGCCGCGTCTGGAACCGTCGACGGTGGCGCCGACGGCGGCCTCTCCGTCAGCACACAGCACAGCAGGCGGCACAGCACAGCACAGTAGGCGGCACACACGACAGGCAGCAGGCAGCGAGACCGACAGGCAGGGGACGACGCAAACTGCGCGGGGCGAAAGGAGTACACACGGCACACATCGGCGGACTGTAGGGTGTGAGGGGCTAACGAAAAGGGAGGTGTTATGGTAACATGCATAAGTGGTGGGCAGACAAACAGTGTCAAACTTGACAGGTTAATATATGCAACACATGCACAGCACGCAGTTAAATGAACATAGCACAAGAGCAGATGGGACACTCTTCCATCTCCGAGTGAAATGGCTCGTCTCAATATATGACAGCTGGTCCTTTACACATCCATATGATCGTCTGAGCATACTGCACACCACACATCACAGCAAAACGCTACAAGATACGGTGCTAAGTGCCACAAAATGAAACATTTTACAGCTCAACACATCACAAACACCATCACAACAGCGTAATATTTTGACATGTCACTCGTTCACCACCTCCCACACGAATCAGCTTCGTGACCGTTGCGAGAGCGCTATTAGCTTCAGACCACTGACCAAAGACCACAAACTACCGCTTGCAAAAGTTTCACCACAGCCGCTCCCCCGCATACTCTTCTGAGAAGGAGCCGAGCCGCCGTGCGCCGTTCAGCACATGTGCGCACCCGATCCCACCAACCCCACCAACGCCGCCATCGACACAAGGGGCGCCCGCGCAGGGCACCGTTGGCTTGGTAGCGGTGGTGACGGTAAGAGTAAAGATGGTGACACAGGGTCGTCAACTGTTGACTCTGACGTGAGGAAGCCCTATGAGTTGGCGCACGTTTACAAGAATTGATTATGACGAGGGAAAATGACCCACTGACACGCCACAGAATAACATGGACAAGTAGCTGCTGCACTGGAGACCACAGACAGTGTTGTTCACTGACAAGACACAAACAAAGTCATGCCGAATACTTCCAGCGCCCCCTCCCCTCACAGCCGCTAATAACATCCCAAGATGCAGCATGCCAACGTCAAGGGGCAGCGTCTGAACCGTATTGAGTTACAGTACGCATCGTACCTCACAGAGCAAGGGAAAGGTCCCGCATAGGTCAGTTCTGGTCACTGAGAGACAAGAAATTAGATACAATTTAAAGCGGGTGACCGGACTAGGAGGGCTTTTTTACACCATGGTAGCAGAATTAAGAATGATTACCTTTAAGATTGTGTACCAGGGAATTCTGCTGGCATTGACACAAGCATCAGGAGCAGAAGAGGTGACGTAAGTTCATACACGTCATGCATGTTATCTCCACTTCGTTGATCTCACTAACTCATGCTTTCCTTTCTCTCTCACTAACCCTCATCCACTCACCGTTGGCCTCGAGGTAGGTCATGTGGCTGACCTCCCCCAGTAGGTTCCTGCCGACGCAGGTGTAGTTGCCGTTGTCGTACTGCCTCATACTGGGCACGAAGAGCGAGTAGCGGCCCACCTCCACATGGCTGACGGTGTGGGAGCTCTCAGACAGCGGCCGGCCGTTGTACAGCCACTGGATCTCCGGAGCCGGGGAACCTGCGACCAGGGAGGTGGAGTGGTTACTTGGTAGTGACGGGGTGACTCCGTGAGATAGGTAAGTCAGTAGGATACATCAGATAGGTTAAAAAAAAAATGTGGGCTGAACGAAACCCAAAACTCGTTGCAGACGTCCCATTAGAAATGGAATGAGCCTATGTCATTGCGTGAGCTTCATAGACCTGAAGCGGCCTGTCCGTCACTGGCATGCAGTGTTACTAAACTTGCGTGTCCTCTATCTCCGCACTGTGCCATCCTGATCTAATTCCCACCACCACCCTTCCCCGACCCTGACTGACCTTTAATGTGGCAGCAAATGGTCACCGGGTCCCCAAGCGGCACGGCCTGCATCCTCCTCAGTTCGTCCTTGTTGGCGAAGTAGGGCTTAGTCTCCTCTCCGGTCTGACTTCCCATCTCCTCCTCCTCCTCCCAGCCGCACTCGTAGCCGTCCATGTACTGGCTGTCGATCTCGGGCAGGTCAAAGTCGTAGAACTGCTCCTCCGACACGACGACCGTGTAGTTGATCCACTGCGGCGACTGCTCGGGGCCGGCCTCCGAGATCAGACAGCTGTACGAGCCGGCGTCCGACAGCTGGATGTTCCGCAACACCAACCTGCGGCGGAAGGAGAGGTGGGAGATTAGATGTGCGCTGGGGAGAGAGAGAAAGAGAGAGAGAGAGAGAGAGAGAGAGAGAGAGAGAGAGAGAGAGAGAGAGAGAGAGAGAGAGAGAGAGAGAGAGAAAAAAAGAGAAAGAGAGAGAGAGAGAGAGAGAGAGAGAGAGAGAGAGAGAGAGAGAAAAAGAGAGAAAGAGAGAGAGAGAGAGAGAGAGAGAGAGAGAGAGAGAGAGAGAGAGAGAGAGAGAGAGAGAGTCGGCTTTAGCAGGTGAGGTGAGAGAAAGAGCGACGCGATGTGATTCATTGACGGGGTTTGATATTCGGGATAAGAGGCATCCACTGTGCGCTGGATGAGGCAGGTGTCTTGGGGATAAATTCACAGCTCACGCCTTTGAAGCGTGACTGACCTCGCAGTGCAGGTGACAGGTGTTGTAGCTCACCACTTATTGAATAGGCACGGCACGTGCGCAGGTGTATTCATCGATAAACTTGTGAATACTTTGCTTACACAATCTTGAACAGTTTTGAGCGCAGGCATTTTTGAGTAACATTTACTGAGATTTTCAATGACCACTTGTGTCGACAGTCGCCATACAGTCGCCATCATAACATTGACTGATAAAAACAAGCAAAGGAATTGATGCACTGGCGCTCAGTCACGAACATATTCCTAAAATCTGAATCGTCTACATGCAAATATGAAATCGCCCGGCCTCGCGGTGCACCAGGTAGCTGTCAGACCGTCGCACGGCACAGCCGACCGGATCCTGTATGTGGAATCCATACGGGATCACTCAGTCGTCTAGGAGCGGCCGCCGACTACCAGCCCCAGCCGGACCCGATCCGGTCGATCTGGCGAGCGCGCCGCTATGGTAATGCCTCTGAATACGGTCTAACGTGCGGCGTCGGCAGCGCACGAGCCCCCACCGGCGCCCCGCGGCCCCGGAGCTTCCGATACACCCAGCTGCGCCGAAAACCGGCCGCAGCATTAGCAGACACCTACTTAGGGTGTCGGCTTCGATCAGATGGGCGGTCTGTAATGGTAAACGATGGGCGGCCGACACGCAATGTTTGATAGATCGCTGTCCGGCTGTCGATTGCTACTTAGGATGTTTGAATATTATTGAACACGCTATTACACAAGACGGTTCTGAATCTGCGATCATGTGCAGAACCTTCGGCAAGGTAATCCCACTAGTCACAACACAGCAAATCTCGTTCTATTTAGGCGAGTACGATATTTATCGCATAGACTCGCCGCACACCCTACTCCCCGACTGCTTTGCAAACGCATGCCTACTTGCGCATACTTTTTTTAAATGCCAGATTCCCCCATCGGTTCTCATTTACGCAACAACATACCTACCCCGCACGATCTGTTCATTCAGGCGGTAAAATCAAAACACCTCGTTCTACAATAGCCACGTCCGCGGAGCGATGATCGGCGCGCAACTTGAGATTCCTTTCGAGATGAGCGGTGCGCGCCCGGTCTTTGAGCGCGCCGGGCTAGAAGGGCGGAAGGAGAGGTACAGAAAAAAATCCCTTCATCGCGACGGGCGCAGAAGAGCGCCGGAAGTTGGTGAGAAGTTGGCTTTTATTCAGGCACGTACCCAGGATTTCGCCCAGGAGGGGGCCACCTGCTTTCGAAGGGGCCCCCCACAGTGTATAGGGCCCCCCAGGTTCCCCGGGGGCCCCCGGGAGTCATGAAGAACCTTTCGATGGTGGGGGGGGGGGGGCATAGTGGGTCCGGTCTCTCCTGCAGACGTAGGTGAGAAAACGCCACGTGTGTGGGAAAACGCAATTCAGTTCTTTACAACCTAATGTAGCATTTGGTTGTGATTTCTCGCGTTCAACTTCATCAAAGTCAATTAAAACGGTCTCTGTAACGGTCTAAGCCTTGAGAAAATGTGGAAAATTGGAAAGTAAAAATATTTTTGCTTGAGGAGTGTGCATGAAATGCACGGCATTTAATGAGCGAGCGTCTCAATTAATGAACATCCTCCAATTCCGGATATGTAGGTATATAATATAATAGTGGGGAATAAATGTCTCGTTATCGGAATTCCACTATCTGGCAACTAGCCCTATGTAAACGCGGCTATTATATGTTTCACTAGGAATCGAGCGCTATTGTACTTTTAGCCAGAAAATAAATGTTTGGGTAATTCTGGGACACTCTGTATTAATTGGAGGAACAGCACTTAGGAGGAAATGCGATTGCAAATCGACCCACATCCCTGTGTTAGCCAATGACGCCTTTGGGGCCAAGGTTGGGGGGTATTCAGTTTAGCCTTTTTGTTTTTCTGTGATATCTCCGGCACCGTGAAAGATATTGGCTCCTTCAGATGAGTGCCTACTCCAGTCACTACTTATATCCAGTAGCCAGTAGCCACTCAGATGATTTGGGATCAATCAGGTGATAAGCGTACTTTCAGACGACCAGGGGCCCCCAGTCGGCCAGGGGTTCCCAGGCGACCAGGTCCTCCAGATGACTACTGTGGACGTCAAACCGCGTGGGACGCGACTTTTTCGCAATAACTTTTGAATACGTTGCCTCTCAAGAACGAAACTTCGGCAATGGACATTTCAGACCCCGGCCTAATTTTTATTACTAGGGTTTTTTAATGTCAAATAAATATTTTGGGTACTTCCCGTTCACTCGTAATGCTAAGTGAAATATCAGCCCGGATGGCGGCTATCGTCAGGCTGCTCGCGAAGCCCCGCCTACTAACTACGAATTCCCTGCCATCTACCGTTCAGATACGACTGCCATCTGTCGGTCGATCCTCACTCAGAACCGGTTCTGCATGCTGTGTGCGTCGGGTCTCAGATGGGCGGACATCTCGAAACCGAGATTGTTCAGTATGGCCTTTTACCAGGTTTTTTAATCCGAGAAAAAACCGAGATTGTTCAGTATGGCCCTTTACCAAATTAACTATACGAATTATTGACTTAGCAGCAGGGATGCAGAGCCTTGAACATTTGAGTCAGCTCCAGCTCCGGCTCCGGCTCCGAGTAAAATGGCAATACGGCTCCGGCTCCGGCTCCCACTCAGGGCAAAATATGACGGCTCCGGCGGATCCGGCTCCCTAATTTAATTAAAATTAAAATTTTAATTAAAAAAATAACTTGACTGTGTAAATATATTATATTATTATGTATCTCATTTACGTAATTACGTTGACAAACTTATTAAATAATCATTTAATTATTTTCGGTTATTCTTAAATCATCGTAATATTTGGCGTACCCGTATAGTCTTCCTATCTGGGTGACATTCTTAGCGAGTCGAAGAAAATATTTCATTGATGAAAGTACGAACAGTCAACACTCGGTCCATTCTAAAAAGAATACTCTATGTAGGTAGATATTTGAGCCATCATTCGCCATGCACGTTATATCCACGGTTATATCCTTCACGGTTAAATACCGACAAGAGGCGCATTGCAAATACATTCTTGCAGCCCTTAGGGCAAGCATGAATAACGTACGCCATGCGGCTGGGTGTGTTGGCAGGAAGCACCGCGTACCAACCCCTACGGACCGCGACTGACCGGTCTCGGGTCAGGTAGCGCCTCAGGCAACGGCCAGCCGAGGCGGAGCTTAGCTCCAACGTCACACTATGGCTCCGCCCTTTGTGGAGTAGCCTCTGCTCACCGAGAGAGTTTCAGGAGCAAAATTTAACATTACGAGTGAACGGGAAGTGCCCTAAATATTGATCGGACATTGAAAAACCTTAGTAATAAAAATTAGGCCGGGGTCTGAAACGTCCATTGCCGAAGTTTCGTTCTTGAGAGGCCACGCATTCAAAAGTTATTGCGAAAAAGTCGCGTCCCACGCGGTTTGACGTCCACAGTAGGGGCCCCACTGCCCCAGGCGACCAGGGCCCTCCAGGCGACCAAGGGCCAATGCGATCAGGTCCCCAAAGCGATCAGGGGCCCCTAGGCGACCAGGGGGTCCCATGCGACCAGGCCCCCGGCTACCAGGGGCCCCCAGGCGACCAGGGGCCCTCTAGGTGACCAGCGGCCCTCAGGCGATCAGGGGCCCCCAGGCGACTAGGGGCGACCGGGGGCCCCAGGCAACCAGGGGCCCCCATGCGGTGCGACCAGGCCCCCCCCGCTAACAGGGGCCTCCTGGGCGACTAGGTACCCCCAGGCGATCAGGGGCCTCAATATCATGCAACCAGAGGCCCCCCATGCGACTAGGGCCCCCTAGGCGACTATAGGGGCCACAGACTATCAGGGGCCCATACGACCAGGCCCCGGGCTATCAGGGCCCCCTAGGCAACTAGGGGCCACAGTCGATCAGGGGCCTCATGCGACCAGAGGCCCCCATGCGACCAGGGCCCCCTAGGCGACTAGGGGCCACAGGCTATCAGGGGCCCCCATGAGACCAGGCCCCCGGCTACCAGAGGCCCCCTAGGCGACCAGGGGCCCAGGAAACTGGGGGCCCTTGGATGACTGCAGGGGCCCCTCGGGTACCCAGGGCACATAAATGAAACTTTAATATCAATTTTTCTTCCGAGTAAAAGACGTTTTATCCAGTGTTTAAAAAAATATCCTCGGGCCTGAGGGGCCCCCTGAGCGCCTTCGGCGCTCAGGGGGGGGGGGCCTTGGCCCCCGTGGCCCCCCCCCCCCTTGGGTACGTCACTGCTTTTATTTCGAAACGACCGCGGACAGCGCACGGGAGAATGGGAGGACGTCCGGCTTTCAGGGCTGATGTCGCAGAAACTTTTCTCAATTTCTATTTATCTACAGCATTTGGATGTGCTCGATTTGTGTTGCTGGTTGTCTCCCTCGCTGTATCTTATAACGAAATCGTCACTAAATTAGTACGGGAAATACCCGATCGACTGATTCGTCCATATAAGCTCGGTCTCCGATGCTATCAAGAATACCAAATAATGCCAGACATTCATGAAAAGGGTACCATTTCATCATCTGAATTGGCTGAGGTGCAGGTCCCAAAAGGGTTGTGACTGAGCTATAATACACGTTTCCGTGGAAACTGTGCCCAGGCGCCAGCTTCTTATGTAAACGTTTTAACTAATGACTGCATGGCAACTGCGATTCCAAACAAGGAACAGATGTAGCTGCCCGAATTAGCGCTATTGTAGACATCAATGTAACCTGATATCTAAGGTAGGCGCCGATCAACTCACAGCTGACACGATATAATTAAAGATGAAGAGAGACGGCCATTCAGCGTAAAGTCAATCAAATCAGGGCAGCATCTGGTTTTCAACAATGGAAACTAATAGCAGAAATCATGCGGCTTTCGACACAAGTTGAAGACGAACTGACAAAGAAAATGATGATTAAAGAAGAAAATGAGAAGAATAGGAAAAAGACGGAACTGGTGTAAAGCCGTTAAGCGTAGAATTTAACAAAAGTATGTACCAATTCTACCGCAAAATATAATCACCCGGAGCTTTAATTACGGTGAGACATGAAACAGACCTCATCTCACATTCCCAGAGAGCCATGAAATTGTACACGACATGACAGCGTCCAGGAAACAACCGCTCAGGGATTACAAATACGTGTGTATATTTACAGGGAGGGTGCCAGTTGATCCAACACCAAGGCCAATGTTTTAACATGACGCAACCAGCAATGAGACTACGTTTAACACTTCATTGCAAACGGCCAAGAAATTAAGGTGAATAAGGTCAAATTCTAAAGGGATGCGTAACTCATGTGTACTTGCTAATTATTCAAAAAAAATTGTCACTTTTCAAGAAACCTAGGTAAATTTTATGAGATAGCTAAATTTTACGAAACGAGGCCCAGGGTTGTCTTCAGGGTTGTATTCAGGGTCTTCATGGCAGGGTTGTCTTCGTAACCTTGCATTTGATTAAGCGATGCATTTCATTTCAGGACGGATTATTCTGCGAATGTCCAATGCTTTCCCTATGCTGGATCTAACCGTGAATCTCAGCTCACCTGTTGTTCTTAAGTTTGAGTCGGCTGTCATCGGTGAAGAACTCTGGCCGCAGTGTGCCGGCCGGCTTGGTGAGTAGCTTCTGCTGCCCATTCAGATACCAGTCGATCTGAGCGCCCTTCACTGCCGACCGAGCGCCCTTCCCGCGCGGACAGGCGAGCTTCAGTCTGCCGAACTCTGCCGCCTGCCGCAGCTCCGGTTCTGTGGAGAAGAGAGGATAAGAACGTCAGAAAGTTCATAGGCGGGCGGGAGGGTGTTATCAAACAGCAAATCATATGCTGCGACGGAATACGGATGCAACAACACCAAACCGATTTGATTGCCTCACCTAATGCAGGACTGTGCGCATACTGTACCGTGTTCATAAAAACACGAAGCTGACAAGTATATAGCTACAATACAGCAGACGCATCGTACTCTTCCACAAACAAATCAAAGCCAAGTCCCGTCCCACCCTGACCCGACCCAGCGTGCCCGAATTTCGGCCAACAACTTCCGCCTCCCGTCGGAATCGTCTTTACGTCGCGGAAGGCCCAATGCGCGTCGGGCCCGTCGTTCCAGGAGCGGCCGCGCGTGTGTTTGGTTGCCGGTCGACTCCTTTGAAGCGTCGGCTCGGTACCCGCCGGTCGGCTGGGCCTGATTTGGCCGGCGGCTGCTTTGAGGTCGCGCGCACCGACCTCGGGCGCCGGAAACACCCTGTGACCCCGCCCCAGACAGCCGACGGCCAAATATCGGGAGCGCGGCGTAGGTGCGGCCCGAACGAGGCGTCAGACTTCCCAGGAGACCAGGAAGGTCGAAAGGGCAGACCGGTCAAACGGAGCACGGCGCACTGTCTACAGAGACTACAGATATAAGCTACAAGCCAGTGACGACGTGCCGTGCTGTGACGTTTAATCATCAGTCGCCACATCAGTCACACTGGACGCCCGACCATCTGTCACCACTTCTGTCCGTCACGTCCGTCACATCCGACAGTCGTCCGTCACGACACCAGTCACGGCCGAGTGCCGACCGGAAGCGCGTGCATACAGGCGGGCATCCGGCGCCCCTTTGGACACGCCAGACGCAGGCAACTCGAGCCGTGTCGCCACCAAAGGGACGTCTTGCGTCGCCAGAACCACGCACGTCCCTCGCCAGATCGCACCCCCGCTGAGAGCACGTCCGGTGAATAATTCAGACGCAGAACGTCCCTCCCCCGGCCCTCTCCCCACCCCATTCCTTCGCTCCTCCACCAACACCTGTGCTCGCGGCCTTGCCCAGTTCCGCCGCTCCCGAATCTGAAAAGGATTTTCGGGATAGCTGTCTATTATCCGGTCGGTTTTGGACAGAGGGATTATCGGGCTCCATTGAGCCGGGAGCGTGGTCGGCCGGCGCTCGCCCGCTGCTCGGGCCGTGTTGGGTCAGTGTTGTTTTTAGCCAGCCAGGGAGCAGGGCCGTGGGGACCTCCGCCGTCCAGCGCCGGTCCGGTGCTGGCCAGACGCGCCGGGGCGACAAATGGCCGATCTGTCACCGGCGCGATCAACACTCGAGCCGCCTCAATGGGCGCCGATCCTCTCCGACAATGGTGGGTGTTGGGCGGAGGATTGGTCCGCGCCGGGTGCGACCGTGGGACCCAGCGAGACACAGCTGGTCGCCAGAGCAACGGAGAACTGTCCCCAGAAGACACACGGCCTTAGGGAAAGGCAGGCGATTTAGACCCCAGAGATCGTCGGAGACTTCAAAGGGGGAAGTCTGTCGTAATTGTAGCCTGATGGTCTAGTTTGACAGTGAGACAGTGTATGAGCCACGCGGATTCACAGATGGGTCCTCTCAATCCAACGGCTCGAAGGACACGGGTGTAGCCAGGACTCGACAGCCAGCCACAGTTTTGTGGAGATAACCGCGGCAGTGCAGGCGGAGAGGGCAACAGCGGCAGGGCTTTGGTGAGGCATGTCTCATCCAACAACACCCCGCTTTCAACAGGTGCTGAGCCGGCAACTCTGGCCTTGTTCGCCTGAGTGCAGCCGCGTGTTGGTCGACTAGATTCCCCGTCCCTCCCCACATCTCCTCGCGGTCCTGCGCCGCCCCTTCTCGCAACGGACGGGGAGAGACTGCTGTCATCTGCATCGCAGATGTCCTTCCAGCTCTCTCGCACAGGGTCGGCCGTCGCCGCAGAGGTCTATTCGATCCGTTCGGTTGCCACTCTCAGCCGTTTTTCTGTCCTCACCGTGTCATACCGACCGTCAGTCACCTTCGGAGGCGACGAGACGATTCGTCACACCGCCCGCGAACCGGGCCGGATAGCTCACTCGCCTGCGAGACGCAGACGCGACAGATTCATAGCCTGGTGTCTGGCAAAACTGAAACACACCCCAACGCAAACAGTAGCGGCATTCTTCGCCGGCGCAGCCGTTGAAAAGCAGCGCGTTTTGAATGCAAAGGAAACGGACTTTCCTCGGTGTGTGGACGGAGTTCGTCGGCTCATTTTACCAGCTTCCTGTGCTCTATTCTCCGTCAATAGAGACGTCCACAGGTCCCGTGCGCCGTCTCCAGGGGGCAGCGCGGCCGGCGCCGAGTGTTTGCCGGTCTGCTGTCACTCAGAAGACGCCGGCGTTTACAGCACGACCGGCCGGCGGCGAGCCGACCGTGTTTGCCTCTCACTGGCATCGATTGCAGCAATTTAGTCACATCCGGCGCGCGGCGCTACACCAGTAAACAGGCACAGCCGGTGAGGAACAGACAGTGTATGTCGGCTGCTGCCTCCAGTCGGGCCAGAACAGTGCCCCGCTATGGGAGACCCGCTCGCGCACCCTAATTTTAGACGGCCTAGAGAATCCGCGCACGCTAGGTGTCATGGAAGGGGAACATCAGTCACCGCTGGGATAATGGTAGCGCCAGCAGTGGCGGCGGTAGCTGAGACAGTTCCGGCAGGAGAGGCATCACCACCAGTGCATGGCGCTGATAGCATCGACCAGCGATGGCAGCGGGCGGCGGCGGCGGCGACGTGGGAGTCAGGGCGGGGCCAGGCGCGCTAAGTAGCCATTACGCCGGGGCGGCCGTGGCCAGGTGGGCCGTCCTACACCGACGGGCCGCCCCCCGCCGACGGAGCGCAGCCGCCGGCGCACGGCCCAAGCCACAGCCGCGCCGCCGCCGCGAATCGGGGCACGGCCGGCGACGGCGATTGACAAGTCGGCGGCCGGCCGCAGTCATTGTCACTCCAATCACAGCGCTCCGATAGCGGGGCGGCGCTCGCCTGGCCATCGCGCAGCCGCAGCCGCACCGCCGAATGGAGGCCGATTCAGAGGACCTTGAGATTTTTAGTTACGTGGCTTATCGACGACTGGGTCCTGCTTCGCTGCAAAAACCGCCGAATCTGGACATCAACGACCGGCAGCAGAGCTCGCGAAGCTCATGCAAGGCTGCGCTTGTCGATTGTCCGGCCCCGGGAGGGTCGCCGTGCATGTCAAATCGCCACTGACGGACGTCGTGACCTCAACTGAGCTGTGCCCCAAGGACACATCCGCCTCAATGGCTACACCTGCTCCGAATTACATATGAACGTGCAGCCTCCGCATCAAACATTTGTCATTGTTTTTATTGGTCGTGATCGCTGCTAAAATATCAGTAAATATTCACAGCACGATAAATTCAATACACTTCACTGAGTTCTGGCACAGGTGAAAAGATTCAATGCAAAACTCAAGGATTTCAGCCTGTTATGAAGAACCAGCTCACGTAACACAAAGCCTACAGACGGGTAGTTGGTCTTGACAGGTCTTATTATGCATGACTGTGCAGGTGAGAAGGAATTTAAGTGCATGTGCATGTCGACACGGCGGCGCTTTGTGCGCCGAGCCGGCGCTGTCGGTACAAATGCAGCTCTCGTCAAACCTAGTGCTCTGTGCAGATGTGACAGCGGACGGCTTCCACCGTTCGCCCTGCTCCAGAGAGAGAGGACACGACGGGACAGAGCGCCGGGGCCGGCCAAATACGGCCGTCCGGGACCGGAGCCGCCGCCGGTACACCGCCAGGACACGGCCGGACACGGCCGGACACGGGCGGACAGGTAGCCCGTCATCGGACAAACCGCTGTCGATGGCTCATTGACCCGCGTCACTGGACCAAGAGCGCTGATGCAGTGATATCCCGGAACGGCCGCGCTTAGGACGAATTTGGCAAGAAGTGTGAAATTGCTGATTTGCGGACCAAGTGACCTGAAAGTACCAATAGACCACTATAATCAAGCCATCTGATTCGTAGCTTTTAAATAAGGTATGTAGGGAAAAAGAGCAAACAATTTCAAACCTTGAACCATGGAGGCATAACATGACGGTAGGTAATTCTGATAGGTACAAACAAAAGGTATTAAAATCACATTTCGTACGCAAACTATTCTCTCATAATGTATCATGAGTTCTCTAACATCACAATAGTCTGAACAGTGAACAATGTTTATTGTGAAAGCCTTTAAATCGCCTATCAAAACGTCGCACTACGTAAGGATTGGTTACATAACCAGCTAAGCCATCCCCAGGTGAACGATAAAGCCATCAGAAGGTAGTAAGTCCGTACCCAATAAGGTTAACATTCTTTTTCTAAAACAGCCGTTGGCGAACGAGGAGTGAATTGTAGACACTTGGCCTAGCGTTTGATATCAAGTGGGTCGTCATCCAGGTTCAAGAGCTGTCCCACTTCACTGTGAACTTATCCACTTCTCTTTAATTCCGTTTGGCGACGATAGATAAAACCGCATAGAAACGTTCTATCCAGCTCGCTCCTTATTTACACCTCGCACAAAAAAGAACGTGCCGATTCTTCTCACCGTAACAATAAGTGACTACCGAATGACGTCACAACTGCTGTCGGAAGTTCGCGCCGATTATGGGAAAGAGGCCTACTAAGGCGACAGAACGGCTGAAACTGATCCCTGGCCGTTCCCGGTAACCAAGTATTTCAGGCGCGGCATAAACGATCAGTCACAACTCAGCCGGCTCCGAGGCAAAACAAAGCCAGTGACTCGGCGGTTGGAGGCGGTGCAGCGGGGAAGGCGCCATGCTCGCCTCTGCTGGAGAGGACCGCTGAACGGCCGACGCGCCGTTCACCCTTCCGTCCAAGATTCCACGTGAGCGCGTGATGTGACACAGCCACCACGTGATGCAGACCACGTGTCGTATATCAATCACAGTCGGAACACAAACCCGTGCGAGAGAGATGCTATCACT